GAGCAGGGAGCCCGATGCGGGACTCGATCCCGGGAGTCCAGGATCATGACCTGAGCCGAAGGCAGTGGCTTAACCAACTGAGCCACCCAGGCGCCCCCCGGTTCCTTTTAGTATGAAGTGGTTTTCAGAGAACACAGTCTGGCTGCTAAGGGTGATGATTGCTAGCTGGTTGTCATTGCTTCTAGACTTCTTCAGTAGATTAGGGACTAAAAAATACATTTTATTTTTTAAGAGAAAAATAACTCACTGATATTTCCAGTTCAAACTTAAGACAAAATTTTTACTTTGATTATTTGAATTCACTGTTCTCTTATGCTAGGAATCTTAATTCCTAGTGATATTAACAAAATTACTCATTTTCTTCTTCATATAATATACTTATAATCTCATTACCCTGATCTCCCACATAGAGGTTATGTTCTATAAAGATTGTTGTGTACTATTTTTAAAAATCAGTACTGCTACCAATAAGACTACTGAGTGTAATTTCATATCTTTGATTGGTTTTTTTGTTCTTGGAGTTTATCCTATTATGAATGTAGAGCCAGAACTCATTTTGGGGGCACCTGGGTGGCTCAGTCAGTTAAACATCCAACTCTTTATATCAGCTCAGGTCATGATCTCGGGTTGTGAGATCAAGCCCCTTGTTGGGCTCCATGCTGGGTGTGGAGCTTGCTTAAGATTGTCTCCCTCTCCCCCTCTTCCCCTCTTTCCCCTCTTTCCCCTCTCTCTCTCTCAAAAAAAAAAAAAAATCACTTAGATGTTGGGTTAAAATCACTTGAAATCATTCTTTTCTCTGTGCAGTTATGCCAACAACACAGTATAAAATTAGGCTCGTTTGTTTCTGTTTGTTTTCTAGTTTTAGAGATTCTCTTATTTCCCTTTTTGTTTGACTTTGTCTTTTAACTATACAAAATATTTACATAGTTTCAAAGACAAAATTGTGAATGTGTAAGTAAATGCCTTGGCGCCCTGTCTCCCAATCTCGTTTTGTCCTTCTCCCCAATGGAAACTATTTTTATTCATTTGTTGCTTATCCTTCTATTTTTATGTTTTAAACTGTAAGCAAACAACATACCTCTTCACATATGTTCACCTATATTCATACCCTCCTTCCGCACATAACGCTAATACGCCATAAGCATTGTTCTGCACTCTGCTTCATTTTCCACTCGGTGCAGTCATGTGCTCCCTTACCCACATGGTCACCTGCAGAGTCTCCATTAGATGATGTTCCGTGGTTTATGCAGGTACCTACTGAGGGCCATTTGGGTTGTTGGTGGTCTTTTCCTTCTGTAAACGTAGTGAATGTCCCTGAGCATATGACCTTCTGTGTTTTTGCCAGTGTATCTTTGCAGAGGCCTTTTCATGCTGTCTCAACTCCTACTTAACACCTAGAGTGGAGGCGTTGGGGCAGTGGTTATGGTTTTCAAAGGGAGTGGCCATGGGCTGCCCACTGTAGGAGGGAGAGACAGGTGTGCGTGTGATCTTTGTAACAGGAGCTGCCGTTGACAGTGTGGGCCTGCTGGGTTCTTTCACTTGGCTTCATGCTCTCCCAGAAGAGTGAGGACACATTCTTTTGGGAGCCTGTGGATTCCCCACTTGCAGACTCACTACTGTGAGCTAGGAGGAAGTTGCAAACATTATTAACCAACACAACGTGATCTGCAGTGGAGCGGGACCACCCGTAAGAGTTCCTAATGCCTCGCAGAGGACAGGATGCCTGGGGCGGCGTGCGGGTGGGGGAGTATAGAGCACAGATGCACAGTGCCTGTGGGAGCAGGCTTTCCTTCCTTCATCATCGGGTTTCCATCATCTCCTTCCACCTATTGTTCAGGCAGCCACTGCTGCTAGGAAAATCTGACAACTTAACTCCCACATCCTCTTAGGACATTTTGTGAATGTCCTGTGGGTTCAGTTCCTAATTGGAGTCTCGAGCTCAGGGCTGGGGCAGTGGCCGGGATGGGGATGACAGAAGGACCCACCATCTGTACTCCAGGGCCTAGGCACATAGGCTGGATTACACAGCTCATTCATAGTAGGTGATGAAAACAGGGCACGGCTTCACAGATTTGCAGTTCTCATTTCAAACCCACCCTCTGGATGCGTGTTTTGGACCACCTTGCAAGGATGCCTCCGTCAGGCAGGCCCTCAGCCTGCTATGCAGACACGACCTCTAGCCCAATGAGGAACGGCATGTTTGCCCACAAGGAATGATTTCACCTTCCTCAGGCATCCACCATAGTTTTTGCACAACCCCCCCCGCCCCGGCCCTTCCTCTCTGCAGGCCTCCTGTCTTGGACATTACACCTCCCTCAAACCCTGATTTTCCCATTAATAAAAAGAATTCACACAACCTTCAGAGCCATCAGGAAAATGCCTACCTCTACAGTGCTCCTAAGCGTTGACTGTGGTATTTGACAGGGCGGAGATAAACCGGAGTCAAAAGCCATCAAAAAATAAATGCAGCCGGGGCACCTGGGTGGCTCAGTCGTTAAGCAGCTGCCTTGGGCTCAGGTCATGGTCCCAGGGTCTTGGGATCGAGCCCCGCATCGGGATCCCTGCTCAGCAGGAAGCCTGCTTCTCCCTCTCCCACTCCCCCTGCTTGTGTTCCTGCTCTCGCTATGTCTCTCTCTGTCAAATAAATAAATAAATAAAATCTTTAATAAAAAATAAATAAATAAATAAATAAATGCAGCCAGGGCGCCTGGGTGGCTCAGTCGTTGAGCGTCTGCCTTCGGCTCAGGTCATGATCCCAGGGTCCTGGGATCGAGCCCCACATAGGGATCCCTGCTCAGAAGGAAGCCTGCTTCTCCCTCTCCCACTCCCCCTGCTTGTGTTCCTGCTCTCGCTATGTCTCTCTCTGTCAAATAAATAAATAAAAAAAATCTTTAAAAAAAAAATAAATGCAGCCGAAGGCGTATTGTGGCTGCGCTGTTAGGCCCCAGCCCTCTTGTTCATGCTGAGCCCCCTGCGTGAGACGTGGAGGAGCGTGGCGTTTCATGGTGCCTCTTTTATCCTAGGGAGTCGAGGGCCGCGCTGGGCAGCCGGGCCCTGTCACATGACAGTATTTTCATTCCTGAGTCGGGACAGGACCCTCCTCGGCCTGTGCGGGTGTTTTCCCAAGAAAATGTGTGTGACCGGATTAAAGCCCTGCAGGTAAACTTCTCCTGGGCAGTGACACTGGGTATATACGTCAAATACGAGCTGAGAAGTTTTCGAATTATTTCTGCTTGGTTTATTTGACATATCTTGAAGTGTAATTGCATGCAGGACACACCAAATTACTTACAACTGGATCTTGACTCGTCCTAAGTTGTAACTGCTCATTTTCAGGATGAGAGCAGGAGAGCTGGGGGCAGACAACTCTTTTCAGTTCAGTCTACTCACTGCCCCAGGCAGGGGTGTTGAAAATAGCCCCTGAATGAACCGGAGCAGGAAGATTTGTTGATAAAAAGTTGCTGATGAAAACAAGAGCAAATGTTCTTTATTATAATCTAGCTGAAAATACAGTGTAATGTGAAAATGGGGCCGCCACCGCCTCCGGGAGGCCTTCTTGCCAAGCGGGGAGATGACACTGGCATGAGTTCTGAGGACGACGGTCTGCCCAGGAGCCCCCCAGAGATGTCCCTGCTGCCTGACATCGGTCCCGGCACAACCATAAAGGCAAGTGAGGCCTGCGCCACCTCTCGGCTTGGTGCGCGCCCACTTCGGGGGGGGGCGGGGGGGCGCTCTGGTGGCCCCCGTGTGTTCCTGTAAGAGTCCCACGGTCTGTGTGGCCAGGCGGTATTCCAGACCAGGTCCGTGGAGCTCACGGTCAGTCCTTGGGCTGCATTTGTTTTCGTTCTTTGAGCAGAAATGTCCATCTTGTCAGGAGATAGGGTTTTGGTAGCCTTTTTTGTCATGGCTACAGATCTGATACAATCAACCCTCTCCCTGGTTTTTCCTGTCTGAGCAGATGACCAGACCGGGCATCCCATCTGAAAGAAGGGAAACACCTTTATGTCTGTTTTCTGTTGTCATGACGTTTGGCTGGAGGGAGAAGGGAGTGGTGAACATATGTGACTTAATCTGGACTCTCCGGTCTGAGTTTAGGGCCATGAGAACCTGTTGGTCTGGGGTAGAATGTGACTTATGCTGCTGGTAAACAGGGCAACAGGGAAAGTTTGACCAGCAAGAGGGCCATCTGTGACCTCAGCAGGGCAGGGGAGCCGATCGTGGATAACACCCTCCCCCATTAGGAAACAGGAGGAAGCACTGAGCCTCGTGGAAGTAGCCCTGCTCCTGGTGCCGCCATTTTAAGCCAATACGCTGTACTTGTACGTAAACGATCATTTTCCCTTTAGACCAGCCCTGCTGAGGGGTGGATAGAATTGGAGTTATACATGTAATGCTGACACTTGAAAAACAAAGGCCAGAGTCCATGTTTTATAGCCACTCCCCTGCCCTGTGCGTTCTTGGAGCTATGGCTCCATGCCCTAGTGGACGATTGTTCACTGAGAATCTCGGGATTCATTGTGAACCACCATCTTGCAGATTCTGAGCTGCTCTGTAATACATTCAGCAGTCACTTCAACTTGGACATCCAGAAGCCCCCCGGCAAAGGCAGGGGAAAGAATACTCACCTAACTTGGGTGCGGTTGTGGGTTCCCAGAGCATCACCGGTAAAAGCCAGAGGGAAGGCTGTGGTGGAGCTGAATGTAAGTGAGCCCCAGGGTTAGGGTTTGCCCAGAGCTGGCTAGAGAATTATTCTCTCCAGAATTCTGCTCTAAGGTGAACCTGTCCCTGCTTGTTCCATGAGCAGGGTCTAAAGACAGTGAGCTACCCACACCTGCTCTCCCAGGTTGAAGAGAAGGAGGAGAAGACAGGAGGATGATTTGGCCCATTTCCTGGATTTCAAGCCAACCCTTAAAATACCAGAGGGGAAGGCTGGCGGGCTATGGCTAACTCCAGTGTCACATGACAGACCCCTCTTGTACTCTCAGACGCGGAGCTTCAGCGTCCCCAGCCTCAGGACCAGATGGGACTTTGTATGTTTCAGGGCCACATGCTGGGGAGATGACTCTCACGAGCCATAGTTGACTGGCTTGCCCTCACTCTATCCCACAGTTCTCTGGCTCTCTCTGCCTTTAGCTGGGGCAGTACAGGAGAACAGGTGGTTTCTAATTCCATTCATTAAGGCATGAGCCCATCTCTGAACCTGCAAAGCACCACAATGCACAGATTCCATAGTTAGCTGTATGGGAGCCACTCACACCTGGCGGGGCTGGCCTCTCAGCATCCTTGGTTATGTTACTGAAAAAACAAGGTTCTGAGATTTTATTAACTAGGTAATTCTATTAATTGGGTAATAGGAAACTAAAATTGGAGCCTTTAAGACTTAAAAAATATGTGTAATCTTTATTACCATGGTTTTGAAGACACAGTGATCATATTTTATGCCCTGAAAGTTTCTTGGGCACAGTGGACTGACTGGTTGAGAGGAGGAAACAATGCACCCTTTAAAATGTCTTTAGGGTGCCTGGGTGGCTCAGTCGGTTAAGCGACTGCCTTCGGCTCAGGTCATGATCCCGGGGTCCTGGGATCGAGTCCCACATTGGGCTCCCTGCTCGGCGGGAAGCCTGCTTCTCCCTCCCCCACTCCCCCTGCTTGTGTTCCCTCTCTCGCTGTGTCTCTCTCTGTCAAATAAAAAAAAAAAAAATCTTTAAAATGTCTTTATATAACACATGATATTTGATATAATGGTACCTTCAATCCCAAAAGGATGGGATTGTGGGCTCTTTCATTTTTTTCCTGTTGTGACTCCCGGAAGCAGGCCCACATGCTTGATAGAGAAACTTAATGAAGATTATTGTGATAAAAGGTTTCCAGTAACAAGTATCTCATGACGCTGCCAAGGTGATATTTCCTAATGGAATGAGTTTTTTAGGAAATGCACGAAATTATTTTTAAAATCTCATTACCACGTGAGGTGACAAAGAAGCTTTATTTGGTGGTTTCTAAGGTAAAATGACATCCAGCTAGCCATCTGCTAAGTGTCCTGCCATTAAGTAGGAAGCACTGGGTAGAGGGTGGCAAGCTGGGAAGTTGTCCTGGGTGATGAGGAAAGGTAACACACGGAGAGAGACAACATGGGCTCTGGCAGAAACGGACCCACTGCCGTGCAGCCAGGCGGTGGGCAGGTTCTGTCATCTGTAGAATCCGTGTCCTCGGAGGGTTTTGGAGAGGATTATGTGAAATCAGGTAGGTCGGTGCCTCCCCTTCCCTCAACAGGAAAGGCCAGCTGGAGTGCAAAGCCAGGAGACTCCTCCTTCCCAGAAAGGCCCATGTCTGCGGCCTGTTCCCATGTGCACCGGCCTCAGCCCACTCCTGGGTGGCTGAGCCCCTCTCTTTGAAGACAAACACTGTAAACCAGCTGTCACCCAGGGTCACCCCTGAAAAAGCCCGTGAACCCCAGGCCATTTTCCCATTTGAGTCCCATTCCTCCAATGAAGGGCCAGCCACCTGCTAGACTTTTTAAATCATTCATTTCCGGAGTTATCCAGAAGCATGGATTTCAGGACCAACGGGTGACTGGGAGCAAGCAGGGCAAATGGGGATGCTTCCAGCCCACAGATAAAAACACAGGTCAGCTTTCCTGCCCCGTCCTACCTTACCTCACATAGTTGCTTCACTGATCAAAGACAGGATGCGGCATTCTCCTCAGTCATGAAGGTGTTGGTCTTTTTAGGCCCTAAGAGCTCTCGGAACGACCACAAAGACGGAGAAGTGAGAGTCTGGCACCCTAGCAGGAAGACCAGCCGTGACAGCCAGTGCAGGGGTTTTGCAGGGACGGAGGTCATTGTGGTCAGAGTTTCTGAGAAGTTAAGCTCCCTGCCAGCTCGCACCACCCCCCCCAGGGGCCGGGGTGGGCCTGAGCCCAGGACCGGCTGCTCAGGCAGTGCAAATGCCGGGTGGGCTGAGTGGAGGGGAGGCAGGGAAGGTTTGTCCTTTGGGTTTATAGGGAGGTGACCAAAGCCCATGTCCTCACAGAAGACATAATCATTCTCACCTGGGAGTCACTGCATTTGCGAAAGCAGCTCATCTTGCCTGTTCTCTTAAGTCCCACGCAGTCAGAAAAACAAAACCCAAAATTTTACCCAATGTATATATACATTGTTCCTCTAGACAAAGGTGAAAATGAAGGATTCTATATGATCTTTGGAATGTACCCATTCTAGTGGTGACCCTTAGGGAGGACACCTGGGAGAGGTGTCACCTGTCCAATCTTAGGTGATGTACTGAGTCATCAGCTACAACAGTGGAAGCCAAAGCCACAGGCACAGAGGAAGCCAGAAGTCCTGTCCTGTGGTTTATTTTTTAAATAATTTTTCTTGCTTTATTCCCATAAGAACCCAAGTAGCTGAAACAAGAGAACTAAAATAGATTATGTCCACTTATAACCCCTTTCCCCTCATTGTAGTAATCGTCTTCTCCCAGTAGGCAGGAGTAAACTTAATACTTGCAGGAGAAAATATAAGGAACCTTTCTGTTAACAGGGAAAATACATTTCTCTGAGGAAGTTCCCTTGCAGGGGGAGTCCCTGCATCAGCTTGTCTCTCTAACAGTGACATCCTTCTGGTGCCCCCTAGTTAAGCAGAGGCTGCTGGAACCTGCTCTGTGTGGGGCTCCAGGGTTGTGGAAAAGAAACTGAGCAAGATGTACCCAGGCCCCTGGGAGTCTGCCCGCTGCCCATGGCTTGTTTGCTGCCTCCTTCCCGAGGAGACCATTTTCACAGGGGCTCACTAAGTCATTGTGAGGTGCCTAAAATTATGGTCTTAGGTTAAAATGTAAGCTTGACACCACCTCGCACCCCTCAGGACGGCTCCTATCAAAGAAATAGAAAATTACAAGTGTTGGCAAGGATGTGGAGAAATTAGAGCCCCTGTGCCCTGTTGGTGGGAATGCAAAATGGTGTAGCCACTGTGGCAAACAGTATGGAGGTTCCTCAAAAAATTAAAAATAGAACCACTGTATGATTCAGCAATTCCACGTCTGGGTATATATCTGAAAGAACTGAAAGCCAGTTCTTGAAGAGGTATTTGTACACATGTTCACAGCAGCATTATTCACAATAGATAAAATGTGGAAGCAACCCAAGTGTCCATGAATGGATAAACAAAATGTGGTATCTACATACGATGGAATATAGTTCAGCCTTATAAAGGGAGGAGGGTCTGACACAGGCTACAGCATGGATGAACATAATGCTAAATGAAATAAGCCAGACAAAAAAAGGCAAATACTGTATGATTCCACTTAATGTGAGGTACCTAGAGTAGTCAGATTTATAGAGATAGAAAGTAGAATGGTGGGTGCCAGGGGCTGGGGGAGAGGCAATGGGGAGTTGTTGTTTAGTGGGTGCAGAGTTTCAGTTTTACAAGAGAAAAAGTTCTGCAGAGGTTTGCTCGACAGTGGGAGTGTACTTAATGCCACTGAACTTTTATGGCTAAAAGCGGTTATGATGGTAAATTTTGTTGTGTTTATACATACAAAATTTGGAAGACAAAAAGCATTGGGAGAAAAATATAAATGTAAACTTGACACTAATACTGAGCACCATGCTAGAATAGAAGTAGGGGGCAGGGTTGTAACCAAAGCCCAGCACCTCCCAGATTCTCTCTCTGCACCCCGCTCCCCATGTGGGTACCCCCTCCACCACTTCATGCCGCTAAACGTCTTGGCGGTAGAACCCACTGAGACCTTACTCAGTGAAGGGGATGGCCAAGTTCAGTGGGCAGGCAACAGCATGTTACCGTCATCCTTCCAGGTGACTACCAAAATATCCTTCCTCCCTGGCAGCGCTTTTGCCCTTGACTGTCAGTGCCTCGCTGCGGAGGTAAAAGCTAGTAAAATGTTTGTAACGCCAGATTTCTCCAAGACGACACACGAAGATACAGAAACCTTCTAGAATGAACAAATGCAGCTGTAGAGATGGGCTGCTGGGTGGTGGGCTTGGCCCATCCTCTGCTCGCTCCAGCCTGTAAAATCACACCTCTGGACCACCCTCTCGGCTTCCAGAGGCAGGAGCAAGCCTGCCCTTGGAGAGACCAGGTGGGTCTGCTTCATCAGAGAAAGAAGCCCTTGTCTGAAGTGGCTGTACCTGCTTGGGAGGGTGAAGGCGGAGCTGTCTCCCCGAGGCTGCCTGGGACGCAGGCTCTCTGCCTGGCCTTGGAAATGAGTGACAAGTTTGCAGGGGTTGGCCCAACATTTAAAACTCCTTTCTAAGGAGGTACCCTAGAGTCCTCCCTGTTGAGAGTCAGATTTTAAATCCGTCCCCCCGTGTAAAGCCCAGAGATGGCGTGGGAAGACTGAGCACGGTAAAAGAAGGGAGCTGGTATGTTGGCTGGACGCATTTCATACCGAGAAGTTAATGCTTGGTATGCTTGCTCCTTGTCCCATGAAGGTCTCTTTAGTTTCCTCATCCCGGCCACAGTCTCCGGACCAGCTCTTCTCCAGGCACACGAGCGACGCCAGCATCCCCCCCCGCACCTCGGACAGCAGCGTGGCACCCGTGGCTGATTTCGATTACCCTCCAGAATTGTCCTCCTGCCTGGACAACTCTGCAGCTAAGCACAAGCTCCTGGTTAAGCCCCGCAACCAGCGGTCCAGCAAAATGAGGCGGCTGTCTTCGGTAATTGGGCTTCTTCCTACATGCACAGGCAGGACAGGCAGGCCTGGTAGCCCCCCCCCCACTCCCTCCCACCCCGGCCTCTCTCCTCGCAGGGTCACGTGCCCCTTCTGAGAAACCCCCACGGTCAGTGGGACCATCTGCAGGAGCTGGAGTTGCTCCTCTTTTTCAATATACGTCAGATACGTCTCTTCCCTGCATAAACATGCCATCTGTTCATTGGTTCTGCAGCACCTCCCCCCGAAGCCGCTAGGCGCTGTGCATCCCCTGCCTTCCCACGGCACTCAGTGTAAGGTCCGCACTCCAGGCCTGGAACACCAGGTCCTGCCTACCTCTCAGGCCTCCTCTTATTCTCTCTCTTTCTCTCTAAACACACTTTGGCCTCCAGAACTGTCTCCGGCCTCAGGCCTGATGCCTGCTGGATCCACTGCTCGAGACACCCTTCTCCTGGCTGGCTCCTTCTCAGTCTTTGGGTCTCAGCTCAGAGGTCCTCTCCCCAGAGAGGTTTACCTCACCATCCTATGGAAAACAGCCCCACCTTCCCACCAGCACGTTCCTTTCCTTCATACAGGAGTGAGCTTTGTAAATGTGTGTGCTCACTTGTTTATTGCCAGTCTTTTTGTTTTTTGCTTTTAAAGATTTTATTTATTTGTCAGAGAGAGAGAGAGCACAAGCAGGGGGCGTGGCAGGCAAGGGGAGAAGCAGGCTTCCCGCAGAGCAGGGAGCCCGATGCGGGGCTCGATCCCAGGACCCTGGGATCATGACCTGAGCCGAAGGCAGACACTTAACGACTGAGCCACCCAGGTGCTCCTATTGCCAGTCTTTTTGAGATCTCGTCCCAGCCCCTGTGTCCAGCCCCTAGAGCAACGCTAGCCACATGGCTGGCATTCAGTGCACATTTGTTGAATGGATGAATGAATGAGGGAATGAACAGTGACAGATAAGCTGACACACTAGCTCAGACTCCTGCCTTGGGCGAGGACCTACTTAGTAGTGTGGGGATTGTGCCCCTCTGAGGACAGAACCCCCCCCCCCACAATCTTTGGGCATGCTGCCTGTGTAGTGGTCAGCTCATAGTTCTAAGAGCCAAGAACTCATTCATGGAGTGCTTTGGCTGCATAGTACCAGTGGGTTAGAGGTCCACATAAGATTGTTGCCTTCTCTGCTGCCCAGTGGTGCCCACAAGGTCTCAGCGCTGGAGGAGCTGAGAGAGCAGGGTGCGGGGACAGCCTGGCCACAGAGAATGACAGTGCTGAGAACGAGATGCCCACAGACTGACATTCTCTCCTTCCTTCCCTGGAGACAAGATTGTGGGGTATTGATGAAAGGCCCAGGACAAGCTAAGGTGCTCAGCTAGGGACAGGGGGTTCTCCTTTGGGCATGTGGAAGGTGCTTTGTAAACTTCTGCCAGCAGGGGTGACTTTGGAGGGGACTAACACTGCAGAAAGAAATGAGCTGTGGTTACCCTGAGGCTAATGTGTCCTTGTGCAAGCTGGGCACTGGGGTACTTGTGTAAATGCTTGCACGTCCAACACACTTACAGTTAAAAGCTTGGTGTTGTGGGACTTGGCTAGGACTGGTAACTCCAACCTGCCTGTCCTCATGATGAGGGAGCAACAGGGCAGGGACAGAGCCAGCTCCCTCTGGCCTCAAGTCTGGCCTTTATTCCCATGGGGATGTCTTTTGCTGTGGCAAGGGTACACGTAACCAGCCCCCGCCTGGCCAGGCCTTTGTGGCAGAGGGAAGCCCGGCTCATACTGCAGGTGGAAATGCGGCATCCCCTCTTGCTGTCAGCTGGACAATGCTATACCTCTCATTCTTTCAACTTGACTTAGCTCTTGAACCCCATTTTTTTTAGACTAATAGAAATTCTGATTTAGGCGTTCTGGGTCAACATTTCTTGATTTAAACTCTGTCATTTACATATCCTCCCTCCTTCTTTGCTTTCCCTTCTTGGTGGGGAGCAGGCATGGATTAAAACTCTTAAGTTTTTGACTGGGCAGAGGTGTCTGGCCAGTGGTCACCAGTGTCACTGTTGGGTCCTAAGGTGGAGGCCTCTGTCCTTCAGTGTTCACAGCACTCTTTGCCCTTTGGTCATGAGGTGCCTCCTCCCAACCGTGAAGATTTTCCTGATACTCTGGCCCCTCTTGGGGAATCAGGGTGCTTTCGTACATTCCCGTTCTGCTCTGAGGGTGATGAGGAGCCACCACATTGGCCCCTCTTGGACCCAGGGGACTTTTACAGAGGTTCAGGGTTTCTTTTGACTTCACTGAACAGTGAGGTCCAAGTTTCCCCCACTTTTCTGATCCCCCGTAACATCTGAGGTTTCTTTCTGCCTCACCCACTTTTACCCCTGCCCCTACTCGGGCATCTCTGAGTCTCCACTTTGGTCTCTTTCTGCCGCTGTCCACATTCTGTCCTCCGTTTGGGCAGAAGAGCTGTCCAGCACCCCCAGGCATCTTCCAGCTCTGTCGTGGGGGGCGAACCCTCTACCCCACACCATCCAGGCTCTGAATCTTTTGGAGCTCTAGAGAAAAAAAGGGGTGGGGGTGGGCTTTTCTTACCTTAAAAACTCCCATCTTGGCACAGTTAAAAAAACAAACAAACCTTGCCTATTAAGACTGTGATATTTATTACAAGTTGGAAAAACACTTCCAAGAGTGCATTTGGCCGCATCCTTCTGCCCCACCAGAGCAGAGGTCGGGAAAGAGAAACACACAAAAGACAAAAGCTGGCTGTTATCTCAGCATTTTATCCTGCTGCTCGGAACCGGGGCCTGCGTGTGGTTCTGACGCGCCGGAAGCAGACGCCCGTGAACGTTTGCGCCAGCGTCTCAGCACCCTGGCTGGTCCTCATCCCAACCCAGGCAGTGCCAGGAGCAGGGAATATTAACTCTCTTTTAGGAGGAGCAGCACGATTCTATGAGTAGCCCCAGGTCGTGGCGGACAGAGCTGCCAACTACAAGTCCCGGGTGTTAGACAGAGCCTGACACTACTTATCAGCAGTGTCCTCTGCCCAGAGATGACACAGATGCTGCCCCAAGACTCTTTCTTTCTGGTGAGGGGAGGCCAATGAGCAGGCAGCCAGGACGGAGCCTCCATCTTGGTACAGGCTGAGCAGTGGGTCCTCCACTCCCTCTTCCTCCAGAGGACTGTAGGGGGTGAGGCTGCCGTGAGGGCCCAGAGGAGGAGGGCAGGGGTGGCGGCGGCGGAGAGGGAGCAGGTATATGCAGCCTTCCTGCTGTACCCAGTGCATGAGCCCAGGCTGAGTCAGAAGCCACTTTGCTGCCTGCAGAGCCTCTGCTCAGTGTCCGAGTCCACACTCCATGCTGCCTTCGTCCTGCCCAGCCCTTCACTGTTACCTCCTTGTAGCTGCCAGTGGCTTAAGTGGGATGTGGCCAGCTGGGCCTGCTTCTCAGCTTTCTGCTCATTTTGCGAGGGTTGTGATAGTTTTAAAACACGACCCACATCCTAAACAGGTTTCAACATCAGTGATTTCCTGTAGTAGCAAAAGGCCAGTAACATCTTTTGAACCTGCGGCTTTTGAAAATTCTTCTGTAGATTTCTTTGAACGTCTTCATTTTTTTCAAATCCAGGGGACGAGGATTGTGCACCTTGGCAAGAGTTAGCTAAGGTATTGTCGCAAACATCCCAGTTATCTTGTGTTCTGTTAGCAAGCAGATGCCAGCTGGGAGATGTTAAAATAACACCAGCAAACAACAACCACCTAACACAAACACTCCTCTACATTTCTTAACATAAAGGAAAGGAGATCTAATGCCCTGAACTTCCCCCCCCCCACGAAGATAGAAGTGTTTTCTAATGTCCTGAACTTTTTTTAAAAGATTGACCTCAACACCCTCAAGCTTTTGGTCATTTTCTCATAGTGCTTTTGGATGATTCACATGACTGCCTTGGTCTCTTCTTCCTAAGCAAGCAGCGACTAACTTTGGGTACGGCAAGGAGGAAGTTGGACTAAATTTAAATTCCATAGACTTTTCAGAAGGAAAGTACAAGGCAGTGTTTGCTTGTCAAGCCAGTAGGGCTTCAGGAGAGGAAGAGCACTGTAAGCTGCAGGAAGAGGCAAGACTCCCTGTAGGAGTGGAATCTGAGACTGTCCTTGGGTGGTGCGGGTGGAGCGCCCTGGAGGTGTGGGGAAAGAGGAGCTGGCCAGTCACTCAGCCCAGAGTCTGGCACATTCAGTAGTGGGGGCTCGGCTTGACCTGAGCAGAGAGTGGGAGAAATAATTTAAGACCAGAGAATATAAGACCTTTAATTTGGCTGAGAAGTTTGGACTTTATCCGTCAGCTGTGGTTTGGGATGTTATCCAACAAGCTGTGGTTTGCTCTTGACTGTGTTTGAGGTGATAGGAATCACCCTTTAGGTAAACCAGTCTCCCTTCACCATGGGGCCCATCCCTGGAGAGAGAGCACTGAGATGGGAAACTAGCTCTCAGGCAGCACAGAGAGAGCACAAGCTTTTCAGCTGAGCTAATAAGCTCAACCTTGACCAAGATGTGGCCCTCTCTGAGCTCCCAGTTCTCCAAGTGCAAAATGGAAATAATCCTTTCTTACTGGGATGAATCAAGAGTAAGTGAAATAATAGGCGTGGAGTGCAAAGCACGGCAGACACCTGGCTTATTTGATCCCCTTTGCTTCATTTTTTAGAGCAGTGTCTGCTGGTTTGGTAGCTCGGCCACTGGAGCCTTACACTATTTACTTTAAGAGCATAGCCGCAAGACTGTTGAATCACAGACCTGTACCTCTGAAACAAATAATACATTATATGTAAAAAAAAAAAAAAAGATAGCAGGAGGGGAAGAATGAAGGGGGGGAAATCGGAGGGGGAGACGAACCATGAGAGATGATGGACCCTGAGAAACAAACTGAGGGTTCTAGACGGGAGGGGGGTGGGGGGATGGGTTAGCCTGGTGATGGGTATTAAAGAGGGCACGTTCTGCATGGAGCACTGGGTGTTATACGCAAACAATGAATCATGGGACACTACATCAAAAACTAATGATGTAATGTATGGGGATTAACATAACATCATAAAAATAAATAAAAAATATGCTTTCAAAAAAAAAAAAAGAAGAATATAGCTGCCACTGTTCTGCTGAAAGCTGAACTTGTAAGGTAAGTTTCCAAATAGAGCGTTAAGGGAAGGATTAAGAAGAGACACCATGTGTGAATGTCTGCTTAGGTGCCAGCTTTAGAGAGACACTGCTTCCTTTAAGCCATATTAAGCCTTGTACAAAATGGAAAGGTCATAGGCTTCCTAATATTCGACATAATGATGCTGTCTTTTGTCCTCTTTATTCCTCCAAGCGAGCACAGTCTGAATCCCTTTGTGATCTGACGGGTACCCCAGAGGAAGAGGAATACGATGAGAAGTCATTACGCAGAGCTGGCACAGAAGAGAGCCCCAGTTCTGCACAGCAGGATGTGGTAGTGGACAGAAGCGCAGAGCCCGTGGGGCCAGCCGCCATGCTGCAAGTGGGGGCGCTGCGTGCGAGGCGGGCCCGCCTGCAGCACTGCCCAGCCCTCAGTGCCAGCGCCGAGGAGGAGGAGGACAGCTTTCTTGGGGATAACCCCTCAAGCCGCGCGGCCACCCCCGAGGTCGCTGAGCCCGTGTCAGGCTCGGCCCCCTGCTCAGAGACCCTATCTTTGCCAGAAGGTTCCCCGCACCATAATCCCAACAGCGAAAACCAGAGGGAGGAAGTGTCCCTGGAAAGCACATGTCCCCCAGACAGGGAAACCGCTGATGAGGTGCTTTGCCCTTCTGGAGACGTGGAGATTTGGTTATCTCCCTCCATCCCCGAGGAGGACACGACATCTCCTGAGACTGCCCCTGCCACCACCTTGGAGACTCCCCCTGGTCCAGAGGGGCCAGACCAGAGTGTCCAGAAGGAGGTGGAGCTGACGCTGGAAGTACCCGTGGCCGTGGCCGTGCCCGAGCCCGAGCCCCAGCCCGAGCCCGAGGGAGCAGGGAAGGGATCTCCCGAGGCCCCCGCCCCAAGCCCCCCGGCCCCCAAGAGCTGCCTGAAGCACAAGGCCCCGGCGGTGAGCGCGAGCCCCGGCGCGCCGCCCGCCTGCGAGTCGCCTGCGGAGGAGCCCACTCCCCGGCCCCTGGACGGAGAGGCCGCCCCCGCCGAGCAGCCCAGGGCCGAACCCGCGGAGCCCCCACAGGGGGGACCCGAGAGGCTGGCGTCGGAGCGGAAGGTGGAGCGGGCAGGCAGCGAGCTGCGGGCCGTGAAGTTCTCGGTGTCGTCGGGCCGTGCGTGGCCGCGATCAGGCAGCGCCCGGGTGCTGGAGCACACCGGCCCCGCGGGCGCCTCGGCCGGCCGCCTGCCGCTTCTGAAGAGCAGCCTGGTCTGGAGGAGCGAGGCGGCGCTCGACGACCTGCGGGCGCCCCCCGAGCCCCACGGCGGGAAACCCGCGACGGCCGGCGGCGGTTCTCGGGACTCGGGGGACTCGGTGGCCGGGCCGGGCCGGACCCCCCGGGATGCCCCTGGAGACCCCTGCCCGGCCGCCCGCGAGCCGCCCTCGGGGGAGGACAGAGGCCCCTTTCCCGTCAAGCTGCGCTCCACCTCTCTGTCCTTCAAGCACAGGGAGGCGTCCTCTGTCGAAGTCAGAGGGATAAAGAGATACAGCGCTGAAATCCGGTTAGAAAAAGGGGGGCTGGCTTTGCTCCCCAAAGACGAGAAATGTCCGGTCGCGAAGGCCCCCTCCCCTCGAGGGGCACGGCCCCCGCATGAGCAGGGAAAGGGGAAGGCCCGGCCCTCGGAACCGCTCAGCGCCAAGCCTCCCCTGCCCAGGAAGCCGCTGCTGCAGAGTCGCCCCCTGCCGCCCCCGGACGCTGGTCCGGGTCCCGGGGAGCTGGCGAAGGCCGCGCCGTCCCCGGACCCCAGACGGGAGAGCCGGATGGCCGAGACGCGGTCGCCGCACAGGGCAGCTGGTAAGAGCCGGAGTCGCCTGGTGGGGAAGGGGCAGGACCGTGGGCAAATCCCACGTCCACGGAGTATGTCAGCACTTGGGGTGGAAACCTTGCAGGGGAACTGGGATTAAAAATCAGAATTTCTCCTGGTACTTCTAACACGATTGGTCAAGAGTTAGAAACTGAAGAAGGGGAAACAAATAGCAGGACTTTGTGGCAGTTCAGAGAAGTCAGGAAAATGTAAAAACATCTTGCTGCATATTCCCTGAGAGGAGATGGGGATCACTCAGCTGCTTCTTTCATTTCTTCCCTCAGGAGCTCAGTGAATTCCAGAATCCTGAGATACGGGTACTCTGGTAGATGGAGGTACTCCTGGGCCTACACCTCTTCTTGGTTAGAAATGAATCTTCTGGCTCCTCTCTAGTGTCCTTCTGACCTACCCCTCACCCCCAGGAGGAATTTTTTTTTTTTTCCTGTTTAATAATCCGGCTCATGTGGCCCAGCCTCATGCAGGAAGCATCCCATTTATTGGAGTCACAAGCCTTTGGTAAAAGGGGAGCCCCCTCGGGGTGGGCGTTAACTTCCTGTCCCAAAAAAGAGATGGTGTGAAGGTTGGGGTAGAATGTAAGAATCTTCTAAAGCAACTGTCCTTTAAAATGAGCAGAGACAAAATAGATGACCTTTCTATGTCTTTGACATTTGTCACTTTTTATTTTTAGTGTTTCAGATGAAACGAGAAATCTGTTGGAAGTGGGTATTTGTGGCAGAGCTAAAGAATATTTTGTTGCTGGTTCTTTTATTAATGGAAATCAGTGTGCCAGAAACAAAGCTATGCAAACGAGTTATGTGTGCGTGTGATGAAGGCCCTAAGGAGAAGTTTTCCATGGCAAATTTTATTTGAAAAAAAACAACAACAAAACTTTCAGGATGTTTTAAGTGGCTACTCTAGGTCCAGGACTCCGCTGAAACACTGCATTGTGAGACTGAGGAAGTAGGACCCCGTTCTCTAGGGACCCCACACCCTGAAAAGAAGATGGAAGTGCACACATATGAGGAAAAAATTAGCTCACAGAAAGCAATGTAAAGACAGGTTCAAAGAAATTCTTATCTTTTCTGCCTCCCTCCTGGGAAGTGAGTGAAAATGCAGTGTGTGTGTATATACATATATACACATACAGTGCTTTAAGTTGTGAAGGTGACAGTTCTAGGCAGAAGTGCCAGGAACACGCCATCAAAGAGCCCGCATGCGTGGCCTTCCTGATCGACAGCCCCTTGGCTCAGCGGTGATTTTTTGCTGTTGCTGCGGCCACTACATTAGGATAGTCAGTGAGGGAGCTTTGGGAGAGGTTCAAGCTGGAGCTCATGATCCACTCTGCAAATCGCCAGCGAGGCTATTGAAGCTATGATAGTGTTTCAGAAACCCATTGAGATATCAAGGGAGGAGGGGGTTTGCTCGGTGCAGATAAAACCCTGACATCAACACCGTCCACCTTCATAGCCCAGAATTGAAAATGTCTCTCAGGGGCTTGCTGACTGAATGGAACTTAAACACAGGATACTTGGGTTCATGGTCAGAGCTGGAAAAGCAGCTTCGGAGGGCAATGCTTGACACATTAATAATTTATAACTTCCTCAGCCTAAGCTGTGCGAGTTAGGATTGTTTATTGTCAAATGCCTGGAATGGTCTATAAAGACCTTATCTTTTTTCTTTAATTTATACAATACAATATACTATGTATTAACAGCTTGGCTTAAAAGCATAGCATAAAAGAACTGTCTTGTCCATTTATTAACATTTTCTAAGCCACAGAAATAACTGATCCAGATGAATTCCAGGGTGAAAGAATCCAGGTTACCTTAGGGCGGGGGTAGTGATTTTCATTTCAGTGCAGAGAGAGGAAGGGAAGAATTACCCTCATTCTGCTTGAAACCCACTCTCCCAAAGTGTGGCTGGTATTTGAGGGGCAAATATCAGGACAGGCTGTGGCTGCTGCCTGGGACCTTGGGGTCTGGGGGCTGCCTCATGTAGACCAGAGCAGAATCGCGGGGTCTTTGCTGTCAGATCCCATTAGTGAAAGCAGCCTCTGTGTCTCCCCCAGACACTGGATCTGCTTGTGGTTTAATTCATTCTTATTATTTCTGTCATCCTCATTGCTCCCAAAATCTAGCCACTGGAGGCAATGAAATTCATATAAAACATACAGATAATAAAAGTTTTAATAACAGTATTATTCAGTTTTCCAGAAAGGCCTAATTACTGCTGTTTATTATCTTGTGGTAGCAGCCACTTTACCCAGAACTCCCAGATGGGCTGTCACCCTTGTACCCCTTTCAGGGGCACACACCATAAAGCTAGGTGACTGAGGTGTCCCAGATGGGACTCAAGCACTTTGTCCTCAGCGCTCCTGCTTATCCTTCCTCCTCTCGTCCACATTCTGTCTTCCTTCTCTGACGGCGTGGAAGAACCCTTCAGTGGGGGAGGCAGGGAGGATTCCCCAGTTGTTGCAGTAAACAGAGGAGCCCAGCTTTGCCAAGTGGGCTGGACCTCACAGGGCCACGTTGGGGTGGTTACCGCAAGGCCAGTACCATATTTGTGCTCATCAATGCAAAGGAGACCATTAATAGGAGGTGAATGGCTCAGGGTTACCAGCCTTGTTCATTTGTGCAGGACATTAACCCTCCTCCTGGTAGGCCAGTCCGTATCGGAGTCTAAATGACAGGTCGGAAAGCACCCTCCTGAGCACAGGATGAGTTAGGCAAAAGACTTAGAGATTCTCGTGTGGAAAAATGGTAAAATACACAAAGTATATAGAAAAAACCAGCCACTTAGGAGTCCGCTTTCTAGATGTTGTCCTGTTGGCCTTTCCTTCTGGTCATTCTTCTTTCTCTGTTTGTAATTTATATTTCATGAAGTTGTCACATGTGGGATATTTTGGAGAATAGCTAGACAAATTGCCATTGTCACCTAGGGGCCTCATTTGATAATGAGCCTTACCCTCCAGTCAAGCTCATTACGTCCGGACGGGCTGGTGATAACTGGCACACCCAGGTCTCTGAACCTCTTTCTCTAGTATTCACTCATTATGCATCCATTCTTGCAACAAATATTTCATGTATTTCTGCCATGCACACAGCACTGTGCCGGCTCCAAAAGGCAGTCAGGACAAACATGAGGACCTCCTCTCGAGGAGCTTACCAGTCTGAGGAGGCAGGTGGCAGCTGGCTGCCACAGGGGAGTGTAGGTAGATGCCCATCTTGTCTTTGGGTGTCGGGCGCATTTTCTGGAGGAAAGCAACTGTCACCTACTCTAATGATATAGTTACTTTAGATGTATTCAAGTTCATTTGAGTAGGGGGTCTTTTTTGGTATCATGCTAAAAAATATACAGTTGATCATTGAACAGTGCAGGGCCTAGGGGCAGTGGTCCCCTGTGCGGTCAAAAAAATCCACATATAATCCCAAAAATTTAACTACGAATAGCCTACTCTTGATCCTTTATTGATAACACGAACAGTCGATTAACATATATTTTGTATGTTGTATGTATTGTATATTGTATTCTTACTGTTAAGTAAGCTAACAAAAAAGTAGCTAAAAAATTAAGAAAATCATAAGAGAAAGTATGTTTACAGTACTCTGTTTATCCAAAAAAAATTCAAATATAAATGGATGCTAGCACTTCACATCTTTGTTGTTCAAGGGCCAACTGTGTTCATATATCTTGAATTCTTAAAGAAAACCAAGTCTGTTCATGCCTGTCTGTCTTTTTGGCCTATCCTCCCCTTCACCCTTCCTTCCCAGCCAAGTATGATCAACACTCTGGGCCTCTGTTTCTCCACCTTTCCTGTGCCCCTCAAACGGCATATGTTTTCTCATCCTTGGTTGCCTCCCAGTGCACCAGCCTCTCCTTGGTGCCCCCAGACAGAACACATCTCAGGTTTCCACCTGTTTCCTCAAGTTCTGTCTTCCCTTGACCCCCTCAGCCATAGCAACCAGCCCCTGGCCATCTGTGGGCACATATCTCAACATTCATAATTCAGCTTATCCACACCTCCCCCACCCCAGATCATTTTCCTTCTCAGTTCCCCCATCTATGCAGATAAGCTAGAGATCTCCGAGCCATCAAAAAGATTTTAATGTGGAAAATACTGAAAGGCCTAAAAATTATAGGGAAAAATCACCTTGTAATCCTGCTTTTCTACAATTACATAAAAAGGGACATGCCTTTCTGACCAAAATGGAGTGAACACACACCACCCTATCCGTCCCACTGCTAAAATTTAAAACCCTGGACAAAATGCAGGAAGTGAATGTCAGGATTCTGAAAGGCAGGTAAGAGTGGATGGGCTGGGTAGTGAGATCAGGACTCTGAAGACCTCCCTGCCCTACCACCGTGGTACCAACAACCCTTGCAGGCCCCAGCTCTGTGATTCTCCAGTCCTGCTCCTCTTGCTCCCAGCCCAGCACCGGCTCCACAGGACAGAGTTTGTTGGATGGTCTTGGCCCTACTCCAGGTGAGCGCTAGCAGCTAAGCAGCAAGCCGCTATATGTGAAAGCAGTCCCAGCAGGGTGGAGCTCCTTGGATTTTCTCATCCCTGTGCCAGGCCAGTGCCAGCAGCAGACTGGAACCTCTTGTCCTGGTCACTGTGGCAATGGCGTCTTTTAGGGCAGAGCTTTTTTAATCCTTCCAGTCCTACTCAGGTGAGCACCAGCAAAAAGGCACCCACCTCCACCCACAGCAGCACCTGAGGGTCAGAGCCCTTTAATTCTCGAGACAGCACCCCGGCAGAGATCCGGTAATGAAACTACAGCCCCTCCACAGCAGTGGCAACAGTGACAGGTGTGCTGGTGGTGGGCCCGCGGGCTTCTTTCTCTCACCACTCTGCCCTGAGGGGCCCCAGTCACGAGAGCACACCGCAGTGCAGAGGCTAAGCCCTGGTTTTCTAGCCAGAAAACCTTGGGGGTGGAAATCATAGAAAGGAAGGGTCCTTTACCTACGTGTATGAAGTGCAGGATTCTTC